GATGGATGGATGGATGGATGATGGATGGATGGATGGTGGATGATGGATGGATGGATGGATGGATGGATGATGGATGGATGATGGATGGATGGATGATGGATGATGGATGGATGATGGATGGATGGATGATGGATGGATGATGGATGGATGGATGGATGATGGATGGATGGATGGTGGATGATGGATGGATGGATGGATGGATGGATGGATGATGGATGGATGGATGGATGATGGATGGATGGATGGTGGATGATGGATGGATGGATGGATGGATGATGGATGGATGATGGATGGATGGATGGATGATGGATGGATGGATGGATGATGGATGGATGGATGGTGGATGATGGATGGATGGATGGATGGATGTTTAATTTGGTGAGAGATTCAGAGAGTCATCATTAAGGCTGATCTGGTTTATGAGCTCAAATGACATGAAGGCCTTTCTACTTTAATGTTTATTAAAAGGGTCACAGACTTAGAGAATATTCTCACTCCCTGATGTGATGATCAGATTTCATGGTCTGAACTATACATGAATTATTTAGTCAATTCAGCCATTTAATTTTTCCCCCTAAATATCTCTGCAGGTGAAAATTCAGGATTCTTGATTCTGTAAAGCCTCACATGTAGGCTGTACCATCTGCAGCCGTGCTGTGATGTCCGATGCCGCCTGGACCTCACCAGCATCACAAAAAGGAAATGATAGCATAAGAAAAAATTATAATCCTGAGATCAGCGACAAAAGATGCTGAGGAATCAACCAGAATCTAGAGTGTTGATGAGTCTGTTAGTGATCTCACTGACATAAAAAGACAACAGTCACCCAGCACAGCACAAAGAAAAGCTCACATGGATAAAATGTGTGGCGCGTTCACAAACATGTAGATACGTAAAACAAATTCTACCTTTTCTTGTCAATTTCAGGCTTAAAAAAAACTATTTAGTCTCATAAAACTACATTAAAATAAATGTTATTACACGTACAAATAGTGATGTGAACAGGAAGGAGGAGGTTACAGCTCTCCGTCATGAAACTCTGAAGTAGCTGAAGCTCTGATCACTATGATCGGGTTTGAAGGGAACGGTGCTTTGTCAAAAAGACTCAAAGTTAAACAGCTACCAGGTGTGTTGACAACATGGCCTGGGGCTCATCTAATGGTGCAGGAAGGGATTCTGTCTAAAAATGTGATATAAATACAATCCACCAACTATGATCTGGAATAAAGATGATCATCTTATCGAGAATTAACCAGGAGAACCAAAATAGGCATAAATATTAAATACAGTTAGAATGAGCAAACAGAATACATTTATGAAAAATATTTCCATTTCATAGGAGAGGGAAGAAAAATCCTCCATGTCTGTTCACAGGTGTTCTCCCATCTTTAAATGTGTGTAATCCAGTGGTGTGAAGACATGCTTCCATAGCCCAGCATGCATTCATGTGCACAGGAAAAGAGCAGGAATAAGGTGATGGGGGACTTAAAAGACTTACCCAAACACACACTGAATGTGATAAGAAATACAGATAGGTGCATATTCTGAGCCAACTTAGATGACAGTTGCTGCATTTCATTTTCTTGTGTGATCATATTGCCAGTAACATCGAAAACATGTGGTTGTTAACGGTAAAACTGTTGGGATCCGGCTTTAAGGAAGCCCTGTGGTCCAAAAGTTTTAGGGTTAACAGGGACCTTCTTTTCTCTTCCGTTCTTCACCAGGATTCAAACCGCCGAATTCATGGGAGCTTTTAAACCCTTGCTGTTCTGGCTCCTTCCTTAAAGTCCTGCAGCGATAAATTCTACAAGAGCACATAACAAGTACCTCAGATTTCCATCTGTTAAAAATATCCTCACTGCAGCTCCACAAAAAATGAAATAGTTTTAACTTAATGGTAATGTGGAGGATTTTCACGAAGTCTTGAAACGACCCGCCCTCTACACTTTGAAAGAAATGCACATGCAAAACCCCGTACCTGCTCCTTGCAGGGAACGCCTATTTAACATGTGCGAGAGCGTGCATGAGCCCCTTTCTCCTCGTGCATCCTCTGTTTAAAAGTTCTCATAGCTCATGCAAGCTTACTGGATCCTCCTTAGTCCGCCTTAACCCCTAAATCCCTCCATCACTGTATAGAAAGGGGGGCTATATAGTGTACCTTATGGCCAACTCTTCTAAAGCCTTCCTTTTCTTCTCATTCACTTCGTAGACACTTTTTCTCTTCCAACCCTCTGCCATTTTCAAAGAACCGCGGCTCACCACAGATATACGTCTGAAAGTGTGCATGCGCAGAAAAAGATAGGTAACGGGACGAGCACGTAGGACGGCATTAAGTAAATATATCTCCAGAATAATTGACAATTAGGAGGACCACTTATTTACATGATCCACCAGAGAAAGGAAATCCTCCAGTATACCTTTAAGATTTAAAAACAAAGATAATCACAAAGAGCACTATGAACCTGATCATTTCAAATCAGGACATATTCAGTCTTTAGTGATACAAACAAAAGACTTTCCATTCTCTGCTCTAAATAAAAAGTTTTTCTTAATTTTTTTACACTTTCATTTTTAAGTGCAGTACCACCTTCCTTGGTTCCATTAATGGATGCCTTTTTGCAGAAGGTTACGTCCCAACTGTCTGAATAAAAGGGACAGACTGTGACAGAAGTCTCAGAAAGAGGAACCTTAACTTTGGACCTTGAGGTCTCGCAGAGCGACGCATTTTTGAACTGGAAATAATTTCATGTAAATAAAAATCTGTTAAGTTAACATTTACGATCAGGAGTTTGATCTTGAACGTGACACTTTAATTTTATCTGTTCTTGATCAAAAGGCATCAATGTGTTTGAATTGTATAGCTATGGGGGGGGGCTCCTCTTTTATGACTGTGGGAGATTGCTGGATATTGACAGGCACTGGAACATGTTGTCTTGTGCACTGATCCAGAGCATTCTAACTATGCTCAATGGGGGGCATGTCTAGTTAAATGTCGTCAGCTTCCATCTATTTTTTAAAGATTTTTGTAACATGAGGCGATAAGTCAAAGCGTCTGCACATCAAAATGCGATTAATGAAACAAACCTGTGTTGGATGAGAATAACGTACATAAATACTGTAAATATTCTAATTATAGGCCACCGGTCTGAAGAACATATAGTCAGTGGAATTCACATTTTAAAGCGGCCTTTAACTGCCAGTCAAAGGAACACTTTCGTTGTCTATCCAGCATCTTATGCGCCCTCCTGCAAAGATGATGGATCAAAGGAGAAATGCTGACCCAAACTAAATTAGATCTGCAAACGCAATTTGATTTAAATTAGTCTTTAGAATATAGAGATGCATTTTTTTGTTCAATATATATATACATATATAAATCCTCCCTGCAAGTATAACTGTTTTAGGAAAATATTTAGGGGTCAAAAATGAACATGCCGTTAACACCTATAAGTGTAGATGGACTCAACATAACCAAAATACATATGTTAAAACCAGGAATTAAGATATTGAACAAAAAAAAAGCTAATTCCAGCAAATAGCTGCTTTTCTTTTTGTTACCAAAATCAAGCAGACTCCTTCAGCAAAGATGATAGTGACGGTTTTTAGGTTTGCAATTCTGTCTGACTGAGGAACTTAGTGAGGCAGACACCCTGTCTACTTTTAAGGCTAGGCTTAAATCTTTCCTTTTTGATAAAGCTTATAGTTAGAGTGGCTCAGGTTATCCAGAGCTATACCCATAGTTATGCTGCTATAGAATTAGACTGCTGGAGGACATAGGGACCACTTTTCATCATTCTGATACATTCTATATCTACTGTCCCACAGGTAGTTCAATCTCTAACGTTCTGCTCTCTCTGCTTTTTCTCATAGTAGCTTCATCTGGTCTGTTCCTGTTTGGCTGTGACTCCATCCTGGAGAGAAATATCAGCTGTGCTGCTGCCATCAACACCTTTGTTTCTAGATGTTGGAGCTTGGCCTGTTTTCCAGTGTAGTCCTGTTTCTCTGACTGTGACTAACTGGATGTGCTCTCTTCATCCTCTGACATGGGAGCTGGCTCGGAGCTCGTCTGCCTGGCTGTGTGTTTCCTGGACGGGGCCGCCTGTGGAGCTGGTTGACAGTTGCCTTTTGTATCTATGCTTCTTTTTCTATGTCTGCTTCTGTCTCCTTGAACCCCAGTGGGCCTCAGCAGATGGCCGCTCACACTGAGCCTGGTTCTGCTGGAGGTTTCTTCCTGTTCAAAGGGAGTTTTTCCTCTCCACTGTCGCTACAAGCATGCTTGGTGTGAGGGATTGCTGACGATTTTCCTTAGATTTTGAACCAGTCTGACTGTGTGATCTGGTTGAATTGTCTCTGTAAAGTGCCTTGACATGACGTGTGTTGTGAATTGGCGGTATAGAAATAAACTGAATTGAAGTGAACTTCAGAGCTAAAAGGGGAACTAAAGGACAACAGGTGGGCAGGCAGTAATGCTCTTTAAGGCCAGAGTGGCTACATTTGAAGCGAGGTGAAGGAAAGAAGAGAAAGGAAGAGACAGCATGAGGACACCAGGGACAGTGAGGGAAGGTAGGAGAGGGGCTGCAGCCATTCACATCAAGCTCCATACCTTTTACACACTTATATACACACACAATATGGACGCACTACCTGACACCCTTCCAGACACATTCACGTAAAACCTTGAGAAATCTAGAGCATCCCAACTCAGGACCTCGGCACTTGCACCTGTCAAAGAGCTTTGGCACCTTTTCTTGTGGTACCAGGACAAGAGTCACACTTCAGGGAGTTCTACCTGTAGTTCATGGTCTTTGTGAATAACAACTTATCATTAAAAGCATTAAAGCATGAGGCAGTGATGACAATCAGCCTAAAATTTAAAATCATTTCAGCACGGTCGCAGAGTACTGTCACTAAAATGTTATGATGTGTGAGGCTCATTGATGGGAGCTATGCACCGCGCCTGACGCTGTGTGGAGCTGCAACCACTTAAAGTGACATGTTACCTGGCTATGACAAACAGCACACAACTGACACCCAAGTAAGCCAGCAGAATATACATCCAGATATCAGGCGAGAGTGGGTTGAGGAAGGAGAAGACCCCGGGGTTGGTTCCGTTGGGCTTGCGGTACAGTATACTTATACCCAGCGTCATGAAGGGCTTGGAGAAGTCGATAACCTTCTCACGCACGTATGTGATGGCGAGGGGAGCCACTGCCAGATCAGCTCTCTGTCAACATCAAAAAGAAACATGAAGAAGGATAGGCTTTAAGTTACAGGTACAGGAAGCATTCAGAGCTAATCAAATTAAGAGAAACACACTGCAATCTGTCCAAAGGCACTCTGCAATGAATGTAAAGCCTTCCGTTTCTTTCCAGCCATTAAGTGTACTTTCACTCTTACAATAACCGTATTTCTTTCTGAAGTCATTCCATTTGTTGTTCGGTCTTTTTCCGTGTCAGCCAGTATTTTCTAATTATAAACACACTGTGGTCACGTCTATCAGGAAGACGTACTATATAATCCTTAATTAAGGTGCACACATGGGAAACTCTTGCTGTGAAAATATGGGGCTGTCTTTCCTTCTAAGTCATTTTTATATCTACATATTACACATGTTTCTTTAAAGTTCTGCCAAATAGAAAAGTCACTTAGTTCACATTTATACTATATGCAGAATAATCCCACTTTTATTTAGACCCACACTGTTGAATCTGACTGCCTTCTTTCTTTAGAACTGAAAATTTAAATTCCTTTTAAAAACAGAAAAAACCTTTTTGACATGATTTCTGCTTTGTAAACATAATAACATTGTTCCTTTTGAAACAGTTATGAAATGCTAAATGAATCGTAAAAAATGAATGATGCTGAGTTTGTCCCCAAAAATCCTCCTTTTCAATAGAAGCACTGGAAAAAATCAAAATCTAGATCAGTCAATTTTTCTTAAAATAAGTGCATTTGTTCTTTGCCAATGGAACAAGACAATTTACATTTAAAATCAGGAAAAAACTATTTCATTTTCTTATTTCAAGTGTATTTTATCTAATTATGTTATTTTAAGCGTAAAAATCCTCATTACATTTGCAAATCATCGTATTTACCTACTCAAATTAAGGGTAATTACACTTAATTTAATACATTTTGACTTATTTCTAGATCATTTTTGCAGTGTAAGATTTAAGGCTGAACAAATCAATCCTACACAGCAAAAACAATCTATAAATCTCTATCTCTATAATAATATAATAATTTCTAGTTATGCTGCTATAGGGTTAGCCTGCTGGAGGACATAGGGACCACTTTTCTTCATTCTGCTTCATTTTATCTCTATTCTCCCACTCAGTAGAACTTTCTAGTTCAATCTCGAACCTTTACGCTTTCTCTGCTTTTTCTCATAGTAGCTTCATCTGGTCTGTTCCTGTTTGGCTGTGACTCCATCCTGGAGAGAAATATCAGCTGTGCTGCTGCTGTCAGTTTGACTAAGTAAGTCTGTCTGGCAGCAAGAATCAAAGCACATTCAAAGCCCCATAAATCCTCTTTTATTCCAATTCTATAAAGACGTCATTAATTGTGATATTTAGATCTCTTTTTATTTCATTAAAAACTTTTATTCTTCTTCTCCAAAGTGAAACATTACTCTTTTTGAAATTTATTCTCCCTGCTTTTGATTTTACTTTACTTTGGTACTTTATTTTGGTTTGGTTTTGATAACCAGGAGCAGATGAGTAACATTTAAAATGCTCCAATAATACCTAAACTATGAAAACAAATCCAAGACAAGTCAAATTATTATATCTGGAGCCTGGATTGTTGAACAAATGTTCAGCTGCTCCACCAGAAAAAAAATAACTCAAATCAAACAAGCTTTTATGCAAATGTTGGGGGCTGTATACACCTCCAAAGCAACATTCTCTTGGCAAATTGGTTTAAAATCTTTTTTCTCTACTATGAATATACACCCCTTGTCCAGAGAGAACCTATAACAAAAACAGTCATCAATAGTTAGTTTCATAACCACATGGTGAAGCTCATTTAAAAGCTCATTTTGCTCCAGCTAAGTTAGCAAACAAGCACAAATTTGGACCCCCTGCAGTTTGAGGTAGCTTGGAGTTTGAGATGCGATGATTTAATTATCCTTTAATTCTCCAACTAACATCTGGAACAGTAGAAGCCATTCAAAACTTTCCTTGATGGGCCCTTGGCTGGTCGCCTTTAATTCCTTTTAAAACATCAATATTTGTACTAAAATATTCTTTTTGTCCTGATTTGTGGACAGGGGATTTTGCTGGGAGTTGCAGGGGACTGGGCTGCCATTCGGCTTGGAAGGGTCATTTTGAATGGCTGCTACTGTAAATACATAGACTTCAGTGCATTTATTCTCATTTTTTTTTTGTCAGAAACTCTCAGACAGAATAAACAATTCGATTCAATCATGACTAATTGAACACAGTGTGTGAGACTGCTTTATGGCGATGGTGGGACAAACAAACCGAATGTGAACAAGAAACAGAGATGATTTAAGGGGAAAAGGAAAATATTAAACACTGTTTCAGTCCGGCAGGAAGGGATGAAAGTGGTGGAGCAGTGTAAACACCTTCACTTTAATTTGGACCATAGAGTGGACTGGAAGTGTAACAGTGGATGGAAAAAATAGACCAGGTTTTTTAACATGTTCTATGCGGCTCTTCTGCCACCATCTGACATCATCATTTGATCCAGTGACATAAAAAGGCTGCAAAAGCTGATGAAGAAGCCTGTTTCTGTACTGAAGACTGAACTGGAACCTCAGAAGATGATGGTAAATCAAACAAAGTGTCTAAAAATGCTGAAGACGAGGGAGAACCCAGAAGCTTTGTTCGCAGAAAAGCACCAGTCAGATGCTTCTTCAGAGCTTAGGATAATATTAGTTAAAACATGCTGGTGAAGATTCTCAATCATCCAGGTCATAGTCATTCCAAAAAAGAAAAAAAAAACAGAATCCACTGGACTATGTTTCCAAGTTTGAAGACATTTCGCTTCGCATTCAGGAAGCTTTCTTAATTCAAAATGTCAGAAATAGCGTTTAGTTCCAGGTTTTATCCAGCAGCCCAACAAAGCCTGGTTTTAGTTTAGAAAACATGCAACTAGAAACGGATGAACGGGTCCCCCCCTTTGGAATGGGGGTCGTTTAGCTTCTTTGTTAGCCTGCAATGCCCCATACCTGTCTATGTCTCTGAAAGGGGGGTCGTTAGAGGGAATAGTTGGCCTGGATAACAGGTGAGGTCTTCTGTTCCCCTGTAGAGGGGTTTGGGCTGTGATGATGTTGGGAAGGAATCAACTCAATTGCTGCATTATAGGTTTTTGAAAGCTGAAATCGGAGGTCCACCCCCTCCGTTTAAGGTTGTTTTTTCTTTCTTAACATAGATGCAGGCTATCAAAAGAAGATAAACGACCCCCAACCACCTATTTTCTTTGTCCAAAATGTGAACATTCTGGTCTTCAAAAGAATGACGGTTTTCCATAAGGTGTAGGTGTACAGCAGAGTCTTGTCCAGAGGAGGGCGCTCTTCTGTGTCAGGCCATGCGTCTGTGGAGAGGTTGTTTGGTTTCTCCAATATAAAGATCAGAGCATTCCTCACTGCATTGACCTGCAGACACCACTCCGCTGCATTCTGCCTTTTCACTCTTTGGAATTTAACTTATTCCAACAACATTTATTTTTCCTCAAGTATTGATCAGGGTTCTTGGCAGCTTATTTCTGCATAACAGGTTCTTATTCTATCTGCCAAGCTTGGTAGCAGTTCTTTGGCTGAAATCTGGGCTCCCTTTCAGCAGGATGTTTAAAGGGGCTACTGCACATGTTCTGTGTTTCTGTTCCTGCTTCTTTTCACTCTTTTCCACCTTGTGGTCAGCTGCAAATGCATTGCTCCTCTGGAACCAATAAAGTCCTCAATTCAATTTCAACTCAGTTGAATTCTAATGCACACTTTGAATTTCCATAAATGTTTATTATTGCTTCTAGGTGTCTTATAGTAGCTGCAGGTTTATAATACACTTCGTATTTCAACACTATTCACAATAAAACAGTAAGTATAGAGAAGCTTTACAGCACATAGTTATATATACTGTAGTATTTCAAGGAAAATACTGCACTAAAGCATTTTTGATTTAAAACAGTCTCTTTTGTCCTGTTGACAGTTCATAAATCTCCTCCTACGCTGTGACTCCAGATGCTAAACATTCACAAGCTAAAGTGGTTCATCCCTGAAAGATAAATCCTTTTTTGTCTGATAAAGGTTGCCGTTTATCACTGAAGGATGAACTAACTGCACCGAGAGGGTTAGATGTCAGATGTATCGGAAAAAGCCTCGAAGCTGCACAATGCAACCTTCACAACTCGTTTGTTCCACTTTTAGCATAACACATATTAGATATTATTTACTGTGATGCTCTCCTGGAAATGGTTCAGTCCAGTTCAGCAGCTCCCCCTTATCCTGATCTCTCTTCTCTGAGTCCACTGCTCTCAACTCTTCAGAGACCTTGTCTTCTGCAATCACCATCCGTCTACGTCAAAAGCAAGAAATGGGGCAAACATGCAGAGAACAGCACCTCACAGGGGACTGGGCCCTTCACCCATGTAAAACAAGACTATCTGTCACGACGGACAATCGCTACACCGATCAAGAACAGAAGCAGAAGACCAGTGTGGAGGAGTTAAGGGCCACTTGACCCCTTATGGTTACAGCATCTAATGAGGTCAGATATTGACTATCGGCCATGCAGCACCTGCTATTTTTCTATCCATGCAATTTATCCTAACTGGGACTGCAATGATCAACGCTGAGAGCAGACTGTGTGTTCTTGCGTTTGTGTTTTAATAAGCTCTGTAGGGGAAACAAGTCGTGAACCTCCATGCTTGCGCTGGGTAATTGTTACTCCCTGTCAAAGCCAGCTTTACCTCCTATTTTCTTCTTTTGTGGTTTGGCTCCGCCTTGTGACATCTTGTTCTTTGTAACTTAAATCTGAGTGACATTAGCTCCTATTATAAGAAATATCAAAAAAATATAGCAATATGATAACACTGAAAAGAACTGAACAAATAAGGATCCATATTAAAGTCTAATCTAAGAAATATAAACATTTTAATCTCTAGATCTTAATTTCTAACCAAGGGATAAAACATATGCTTTTATGCTTTTTTCACTTTTTCAGAAGAATAAATGCTGATGTGTTCCAGATGCCTCCTGGTCGCCTCCCCTGGGAGGTGTTCCAGGCATGCCCTGTTGGGAGGAGGCCTGGTGGAAGGCCCAGGACACGCCGGAGGGATTATGTCTCTGAGCTGGACTGGTGTCACCTCAGGGTCCCCGGGAGCAGCTGGAGGAGGCGTGTGAGGATCGGGAAGTCTGGACATCTTTGCTTAAACTGTTGCCTCCACAACCCGGCCCCAAATAAAGCTGAGAGAAATGGATGGATGGAGACATGTTTGTAACATAAGATCTGATGTAGTGAATGTTTATCTCACACTGACTGATCAGCTGCTGCGTCCTGAATGCAAGCGTTAAAATGACACTTCGATTGCTAATACTAGCCGACATGAAAAGTAATTCCAACTTGCCCGATGCTAACACATTCATTAAAACCCTTGCTGATCTGTGGTCTGCACTAGCCTGCTAATTCTACTTCCTTTTATTACCAGAGGTGTCAACAGTCTTCATGTTTATTGCTCCAGTAGAAGAATAAATCCTACCATTAAAAAACACTTTTTAGTAAAAGTGTAAAAGTATCATTTTTAAAACAACTTAAAGTATAGAAGTATATTACTCTAATATAGCCCAAGAAAACCCTATTAATGCATATTGCCCGACATAAACTGGATTATGCCAGTAGATGTTAGCGTTAATGAGTGATATAAACTGACACACTCTTTCATTTAGAGATTAGAGGGATTTTATTCTGGTTTTGACCTAAAAGAGGTGCTCTTAAATCCAGCTGAGGTAATAACTAAATGTAAATTGATATAAATAAAGGGATGTAACTCTGATTAATATTATGTTCAGTGTTTAGAATAAAATAAAAATAAAAATAGATTTTTTAAGACCGTCGCTAATTATTTTGTCGAACCGATTACTGATATGTGCTGCCGATATTTTGGGACCAATCGTTAGAAACCAATGTTTTTATTTATTTTATTCCTCTGTTTACATGATAAAAGTGACACGATGACACAAGTCTCAGTTTAAACAGCAGTGAAACATTAAGAAATAAACCAACCGCCACATTATCGAATGCAAGAGTTACGATGCATAATTAGCTGATCTCAAGGTGTGGCTTGTTGGAGGCTTATTAGTAGAAATCCTACTGTTTGAAAACACTAAGTTAGAGGCTTAACTTAAGCTTTATACTCCAGTAAAAGTGTAAAAGTACAATTTAAAAAACAAGTAATGCAGGAAAAAATGTTAAGGATGAAAGCTTTACTGCGCTACCTTATCAAAGGAACATTTTTCTACAGTTATGGATGATAACATCCTTAGACTTTATTTTCTTAGTTTTATAACTAATAGTAACAGAGTAAAAAATTTCATTTTGCATCATCTTGAAAAACTTTTTATTTTGGTATGTGGTGAGCAACAAGTTGGGGCAGCACCGAGTCCAACCACAAAGAAATTAATTGTCTGGATGAAACTAATTATTTTGATGGTTGTTATTTTTTATGAAACTACTAACAAGTCTATTTTTAAAATGTAAGGAGTAGAAGTAAAAAGATGTCTTAAAAAAAGAATTACTGCAGTAAAGTATAGATAGCCAACATTTCTACTTAAGTACTGAAGTATATGTACTTTGTTACACCTCGTTTTCTTATTGCCATGCATGATCCAACCATTTGATGAAACGACGTTCTGCATTGCCTGGTTAACTTCCTCCAGTGGATGGAAACACTTCTAATTAGCTTTTTTTTTTGTAGACATTTTTAAAAGTTGCTTTTACATGACATTTGGATGGAAATGTAGCTATTGTATAAATCAACAACTAAGAATAACAGTAATAGAGATGTAGAATTGAACTGTATAGATCCAGCCCAGCATATTTATATAACTACACAAAAACAGGACACAGTTCTATTCCTGAACTCCGTTCAACAATGCAACCCTTTGTGGGACAACTTTAAAAAAAAACATTTTTTTCAACATTCCGGGTTTTTGTCCTGGAGGGTAGCCTTTTCCTGCATCTCTTCCCCCTCTCTATTACTCCACTTCCCATTTATACCTTCAAATTAAGGTTAATATAGCCAAGAAAAAAAAGGGACAATAAGACAGAGGGGGCTCCCAGTTCTACTAAACTCTAGAAACATTAAGGTTTCTCATGCACTTAGAAAGGAGAAAGAAAGGTGAAGTGAATCAAAATGAAATCAAGCACATTCTCAACAGGAAAAGGGGACCTGAATGTGAGCATCCTGTTCACAGAAGAAAACTCAGCTAAAGTCTAAATCCAGCTGCCTGCTACATTCATCCAGTCCATAGTGCATCACAGCATGGTAGATGCAGCCATGTTTCCATGTTTAAGCACATTTTGAAGTGTGAAATTAGAAAAAGCTGATGGATATGGCAAAATGTGAAATTCCCTCCAATTTTGGCAAAAACATTTTACACTTGTTTTTCTTTTTTTTTAGCTTTCTTTAAAAAAAATAATATGTTAAACACGAAATGGAAACACATCTGCCAAAAAAGTCCTGATGGAGCAAACATTTAACTCACAGGACGGATGAGCTGCTCATGTCTTCCCAATAAAACAACATGGCGTTCTCTACCTTTCTCATCAGCATGGATAGTATTAGTTGGCATGATGGCAACTTGGGCTTCTGATAAATCTCTGCTTTAAATAGCCTGGTTATATTATCATTTTATTATTCTTTCCTTTGTTTTTAGTTTAGTTTACTAAAGTTTACTCAAAATTCACATTGCAGTTTATTGGAAACATAGAAGTGTTACTGCCGAGCAATCCCTCTCCAGTCAGCTCTAAAATTAGATTTTTTTCTCTTGATAAGAAAACCCTCAAAATTTGCAAAATGAGGTTATAAAGTAATCATGAATCATTCGGGAAAGAGACCATAGGGATCAATTCTCATCACTATAAATATGCTCCCTAGTGGTAGAATTAAACTGCTCAAAAAAATTAAAGGGACACTTTGAAAACCCATCAGATCTTAATGGGGGAAAAATCATGCTGTTTATTTAAACTGATATGGACCGGGTGATGTGTTAGGAACAAAAGGATGCCACATCATTTGATGGAAATGAAAATGATCAACCTACAGAGGGCTGGATTCAAAAATTACAGTGAAAAATGATGCAGCAGGCTAGTCCATTTTGCTGAAATTTAATCGCAGCAACTCAAAATGGTATTCAGTAATTTGTATGGCCCCCAGGTGCGTTTATGCATGCCTGACAACGTCGGGGCGTGCTCCTAATGAGACGACGGATGGCGTCCTGGGGTATCTCCTCCCAGATCTGGACCAGGGCATCACTGAGCTCCTGGACAGTCTGAGGTGCAACCTGGCGGCGTGGGATGGATGGAAACATAATGTCCCAGAGGTGTTCTATGGGATTTAGGTCAGGCGAGCGTGGCCAATCAATGGTATAAATTCCTTAATAAAGTGACTTTAGGTTGAATAGAATCAAGTCAGGAGCATTGTTACATTCTTTACAGAAACAGATCAGTTATTATTTGTAAATCACCAGGAACTCAGAAAAGAAGGTTATGACTTTAACAGCAGCTGATATGTTTTTTTTTTTAACTGCAGTTTAACTGAGGCTACACCAGTGGATACAAGGCACAGGTCAGACACACTACTCCCTTAATTAAAATAAAGGGAAATGTCATAAAAATCTGTAACGATATCAGCCTAGTAATTGTTACCAAGCCGTGTCCAGCAATCATAGTAATACGAAAATGAAATGATCTTTGTCCAGAGATGAAAGGATTTCAGCAAAAAGTGCAAAAAATCTAAATTAGGAAAAGTGATTTACATTTTAGTACTAGTTTATCTTCAAACAGATTTCATTTGAACCTGAATCATCTGTGTTTTATTGGCTGGAAGGATCTGTGTAAAGGTCGGACTCACGTGGTCTATCAGCTCTTTAACCATGCCGTTCCACTGGCCCGTATTCTCATCCTGTGCTCCGTATTTTCCATCCTCCACCAGACGAATCTCGTATGTAAAGCCCAGGATGTTTGCCAGCTCTCTCAGTAGGTCAATGCAGTAGCCTTCAAATCGGTCGTTTCCATACAGTGGAGTGTCAGATTTCTTGAACATCACATATGGCTCCTCCTGTCAGGAAAAACAGTGAAAGATTAGTCCCTAAAGCACTTGGCATCTCACACATGCTGTTATGGCCTATCTAAAGGGTTGTTCGACATGGAAAATGGGCTTTAAAGCTGTGCAAAGTCAAAAAAATCTAACTGTGTTGGCTAGTAAAGCAACTTAACTCCTGCTGTGTATATGTGCTTGGCAGGAGAAGCTCCTATGATGTGAGGTAGGGTGGTTGCAAAGTGAAGCATGACCATAATAAGAGATAATCCCTCCAAATCAATGACTCTGTGCTCCTCTCAGACACAGCAGGCTAGCTTTGGTCCCGCTGTCGTGAGACCACACGCCTTGTCAGTCAGATAAGAGATGTTGATAGATGGACACAAAAGGAAAGAGCAGGAGCTTTCATCCCCTCTCCTCACATGGACAGCTGGCTCGACTGCTAATGTCTTTTTTCCTTCCGCTTCCTCCAGTCTTCTAAGAACCTCCTCAGCTATGTTCTTTTTTTCTTCCCTTCAAGCTTCCTTTCCTGTAACCTCCTCCGCATGCTTCCTCTTCATTTTACATCTGCTGCATGCGCCATCTGTCTCTGTTAGCCTTAGACCTTCATTCTAGGAAACTGTCCCTCATTTCTATGACTGCCTTGTCTCTCCCTGACAATAAATCAGAAAACAGATCACCAACCAGGTGTTGTTTATCATAGAGCTGTGCATTACTGAAGTAAAAAAGTTGCAGAGCTCAACTGAATTTTCTTGTTGAAGTAATCTGTTAAAAAAAACTTAAAAGTAAGTTAAAAAAGCCACCAAGGTCTTTTGTTTCACAAAATGCCAGAAATAGAAACCAGGGAATAGAAAGAGTGTGCCCAAAACTCTGTTTCTTTTTGTTTAGGTTATTTACTCAGTGAGGGGGCTCACAGTGGTAATATTTTTATTTCTTTCATCTTGAAATTTGGTTTATCTTGTACCATGTACCACTGAACTATGGGGGGGTGTATTTGGGTTTAGCTAGTTTAAATGTTTGTTTTGTTTAATTGTCAGTTGTTTGTGTTTGTTTTTTGGTTTGGCTGAACCTCTATATACACTGAGCAGAATTATTAGGCAAATGAGTATTTCGACCACATCATCCTTTTCCTACATGTTGTCCTACTCCAAGCTGTATAGGCTTCAAAGCCAACTACCAATTAAGTAAATCAGGTGGTGTGCAGCTCTGTAATGAGAAGGGGTGTGGCCTAATGACATCAACACCCTATATAAGGTGTGCTTAATTATTAGGCAACTTCCTTTCCTTTGGCAAAATGGGTCAGAAAAGAGATTTGACAGACTCTGTAAAGTCAAAAATGGTCAGATGTCTTTCAGAGGTGAGCAGCAGTTTGGAAATTGCCGAGCTTGTGAAGCGGGATCATCGCTCAACCAAGTGGTTCAGGGCAACTAGCCAACAGGGGCGCAAGAAGCGTGTTGGAAAAAAGAAGACGCAGAATAACTCCACATGCATTAAGAGGGATCAAGCGTGAAGCTGCCAGGAAGCCATTAGCCACCAGTTGTTCCATATTTCAGAGCTGCAACATGTCTGGAGCGCCGAGAAGCACAAGGTGCTCAATCCTCAGGGACCTGGCCAAGGTAAGGAAAAACGAAAAAAAGCCACCTTTGAACAAGACGCACGAGACAAAACGTCAAGATCGGGCCAAGAAATCTCTGCAGACTGATTCCTCCAAGGTGTTTGGGTCTGATGGAATGAGAGAGAGTCTAGATGGGCCAGATGGATGGATGAGCACCAGGCTGGATCAGGAAAGGGCAGCAAGTTCATTATCCACTCAGACGCCAGCAAGGTGGAGGTGGCGTAATGCTATGGGCTGCTATCATCAAAGATGAGCTTATGGGACCTTTTCAGGTTGATGATGGAGTCCAGATCAACTCCAAGACCTACTGCCAGTTTCTGGAAGACACCTTCTTCAAACAGTGGTACAAGAAGAAGTCGCCATCATTCAAGAAAAACCTGATATTCATGCAGGACACTCTGCACACGCATCTAAAAGGAGAAAAAATAATGACATGGCGCCCTTGTTCACCTGATCTGGACCCCATGGAGAACCTGTGGTCCTTCATGAAAGGTGAGATCTACAGGGAGTGAGAACGGGGAGGCTGTGGTGGCCGCTGCACGCAATGTGGATCGCAAACAAATTAAGACACTGACAGTATCTATGGATGGAAGGCTTTAGAGCGCCATGGGGAAGAAAGGTGGCTATATTGGTCACTGATTTGTTTTTTGTTTTTTTTTGTTTTTTAATGTTGCAAATGTTCATTTCTGAATTTTGAGTTGTTATAATAACGTTTCCTAATAATTCTGCACAGTAATATTAATCTGGACACACAGACATCATCATAAAATGGCCAAATCTAAAAAAAACACATCAACAAAAATATGAACTTTGATATTAAGGAGTCTTGGGTTGATTGGGAACACAATTGTGGCCTAATAATAAAAATAATCCTCAAAAATACAACTTGCCTAATAATTCTGCACACAGTGTATGTGTGTGTTAGGTCAGTTTTCCTTGGTGAAGTTTGCTTTGTTTGTTCAGTTAAAAGTTAAGTATTATTAAATTCAGTTGACCTCTTTTATGTGCCGGCTGATTTTTTTTGTTAATTTTTTTGGGGGTCAATAAAACCCAGATTTTTAAAATGACCTCCTGTGTCTCTTTTGCCTTAATGCTTGGTCCCTGACACACACACACACACACACGCACACACGCACGCACGCACACACACACGCACGCACACACACATGCACGCACGCACGCACACACACACACACACACGCACACATGCACGCACACACGCACGCATGTTGTTTCAAACTGTCCTTGTTGAAATTTGACTTTGTTGGGTTAGATTTTGTCCCAGTTTAGTCCGATAATAGATGTTGAAAAGATTTTCCAGCGATTTGAAAGTTACTGTTTTTTACCTTTCACTTTTAAAGCAAATGTAGATGTCGTTGAGATGTAAATCATGTCAACTTTTCAATATCTTTTTAGCCAATCTTTGCTCAGTGGGTATAGGTCCAGATACCGAGATACAGATTAGAATTGATAAGAGAATTCAATCAGGTTGTACAGTCCGATTAGTAAAGTAAAACCACCTGAATGCATCAAACCACTGCCTTGCAGGAAACAATCTTCCTGAATAAGCTTGCATTTTATTGTTGATTCTACTGTATTTATTTATTTTTTTGTTGACTCTGAAATCGTTCACATATATCAAACATACATACAGAGGGTAAAATAAGTATTGAACATGCTACCATTTTTCTCAGTTACTATATTTCTAGGGGTTCTATTGATATGACATTATCACAAGATGTTGATAACAATCCATGCAAAGAAACAAAGAAATTAAACCATAGATGTCCAGAAATTAAGCTATGTGTAATAATGTAGAATGACACAGGGAAAAAGTATTGAACACATGAAGAGAGGCATGGAAAGCAAGACGGCAGCAGAAATCTCTCAGTAATTAGAAAGCAATCCTGCCCCTTGTCAGTGCAAATGAATATCAGCTGGTTCAATCCCAAATGATGGCCTTCAAAGAGGTGTTTCTGGTATTACACAAGAAACATCTCATGATGGGTAAAAGTAAAGAGCTTTCTCAAGACCATGGCAACGTTAATGATGACATTGGTTACAGAAGGATTTCTAAACTTCTGAATGTTCCAGTGAGCATTAAAGGAACCATAATGTGGAAGTGGAAAGAACATCATTTCACCGTAAACTGACCATGAGCAGGTGTTCCTTGCATGATCTCTGACAGTGTAGTGAAAAGAATGAGCAGAAGAGTTGTCCAAGAGCCAGAGATCACTTGAGGAGAGCTTCGAAAAGACTGGAATTAGCAACTACCAAGTATTAAATAAAATAATTTTTAGTAGGTAAGTTCAATACTTTTTCCCTGTGTCAGTCCACATTATTATGTCAAGCCAAGAATGCCACTATTCGCATGTAATTACCATGTTAAGATTGAAATTAACCTGCTAAAAACAGCATTTTTTCTGAAATTTCGCCCTCTTTTAACAACAAGCGCCCCTTTTTACGTCCGTCATGTACCGCAAGACGCGCGTTCTTAACACGCATATTGACGGGTCAAAACGTGCGTTTTTGACACGCGTTCTTACCGAGACAACGCACGTTTTCTTGCGGTACCATCATGACGGATGTAAACATACAGAAAACAATTCAGACAAACACATTTTCTGGAAGATAAGTGGCCCCTTTATTGTCATTTTATTAACACAATGTAAAAAGGTTTTACATAAAAGAATTTATGGCGATAGATCAAAAACGACAGTGAAGTAGGCTACATTTCTGATTATATTGTCAGAAAAACAAACATACTTCTAAACGGGCTTGGTTAGAGACAAGAGAGAATTTAAAGGGAAAAGTCGGACTGCCTCAGCCAGATTCAAACCTGTAATGAATTCGAAATTTTGTATTGCATGCGGTCACTTTAGCCACTACGCCGCTTCTCAGTTGGAAACACTACTGAACTGTTCCTACTAATACCTGCAAAACACAAAACATTAGTTAGCGATGCATGTCCATGCAAAACATTTTTACATGAAAATAAGCATGGAAATGTATTCAAAATAACAGCAAAGTGCATGTAGTGTATACATTCCTAAAATTAAGGCTTTGTGAAACGACAATGCAGTGAACTTTGGCAACACTGCCACACAGAGCTCTGTGCAGAGCTTTCCACAAAGCAGATCTGTGCTGAACTTTCCTGGTCTGGCTGCCTTGATCTGCGATTAGATGCAACCGGGTTAAATACATTGGCTGTTGGAAAAGAAGGAAGGACATTATTATCATATTAGGAAAACGCGCATATTTGACCCAAGTTGTCTCAGTAAGAAGTTCTGACCCCTCAAAACACGCGTACCATCATGACGGACGTAAAAAGCTGCACTTGTTGTTAAAAGAAGGGCGAAAAAAGCGGCGAAATTTTGGAAAAAACGCGTTTTTAGCGGGTTAATTT